TGCGCTTCTACGTCTTGCGCTTCTACGCCTTGCGCCTCTACGTCTTGCGCCTCTACGTCTTGCGCTTCTACGTCTTGCGCCTCTACGTCTTGCGCCTCTACGTCTTGCGCCTCTACGTCTTGCGCCTCTACGTCTTGCGCCTCTACGTCTTGCGCCTCTACGTCTTGCGCCTCTACGTCTTGCGCCTCTACGTCTTGCGCCTCTACGTCATGTGCCTCTACGTCTTGCGCTTCTACGTCTTGCGCCTCTACGTCTTGCGCCTCTACGTCATGTGCCTCTACGCCTTGCGCCTCTACGTCTTGCGTCTCTACGTCTTGCGCCTCTATGTCTTGCGCTTCTACGTCGTTCGGCCGAGACTCCAGCTGCTTCTGAGCGTCTCCGACTGATGTCGCCATGCACTGTACCGACGCAGTGGGCCTTGGATCTGATCCTCCCACTGGCTTCAAATACTCCTCTGACCGCTGCTTGTCTGTAAGCAAAGTCTTCCACGCCTTGTCCGACGTCCTTCTGAGCGAGGCAAGCAAATCTCGCTTTGCTTCCTAATATGTACTGCTGGCGATGCGCTCGTTCATCTTCTTGAGCTTTTCGTTAAACTCTGTGCGGAGCGCACCCTCTTGCCGTCTAGCACTGCGCTCTTCAAACTCCAAGGACTGTCGGAGCCTTTTCTTCACATGTTCCCTCAACTCATCGCCTTCCAATCCTAACAGAATTCCATTGGCGATAAAGCGGGCTTCAATGATCCATAGTTCCTGTGCCATGCTCGCTTCGTATCCTGGCGTGGTCGCCAAATGTTGTGAACCCTCTGGTTCTCTAAAGTGTCAGGAACGAACGACCACACGGCACGAGAACAACTATTTATTATCAACAGTATATTTCACTTCCATCGACTAATAATAATGAATAACTAACACTAAAACCACCAGGTAGTTATAGCGTGAAAATGACAGCGTATATGAGAAAAGCATACACATACAACATACAACTACAGCGCACACAGTAAACCGCACATAGCGCATGTAGCGTATGCCACGTCGTAAACATCAGCGGTACGGCGGAGTCGGGATACAACTGCATTGAAACGAACACAATGTCACAAGCGAGAAGGCCTTTCACTCTCGAGAACTTGTGGTTTCACAACACTAGTAATAGTACACTATATTGGCAACGGGGGGGGGGGGGGGGGGGGGGGGGGGGGCAGCGTCATTCAACCCTTCGTTTTCTACAATCATGTTTGTTTCCATTCAGCTAACTTGCACATTCCATTGTTTCTGTTTTGTTTGCTCTGCTGTTCCCTGCACTTTCAGTACGGCCGTGTCAAGCATGAATGGTCAGTAGATATTGATGAGTAATCATCCGCCTTGTTGGCACTCAGCAGTCATTTCACTCGAGTTTTCGGTCAGGATTATTTGTGCTAGACGTAGAACACTCCATTTGTCAATATGTTTTAACCACTTTCAGAGATGTGTCCTGTTTAACCGTTGCCGGTTCAACGTCAGAGATGTACAATTTCAATTTGCCTCACACTCTTTATTTACAACGTTTGTAACCTTTCTTACTAGTGCCTTCCTGGTTGCTGCTGCTGCTGCTGCTGCTGCTGGTCTTTAGGTAGTTAGCAGACACAGAGATAGTCACTGAGACAGGCCCTGAGATAGGCGTACTGTCCTGTGTTCACAGTTCACGGTTACTGCTGTCGTTATTGAGTAGGGGTGAAACGAGTATATCGAATACTCGAGCGCTCACTCGAAACTTTGAAACGAGCGAGTACTCGTTTCGCAAAATACTCCGAAGTATCCAATGTACAGTGTATTGTGCGCATGTACATCAAGCATTTCTGTTACTCTGACTGGTACAGATGGCCCACGCAAGCGCAAAATTATTGCTTGTCCCTACTTTAACCAGCAAAAGACAGTAGTTCAAACTATTTCCTGGACTAGGCTGCATGCAAGACTACATGTGTATCGGGTGTACTACGTTCGGTGTTGCGAGAGCGTATGCAGTGCATTGTTCAATGTTGTCAGTAAAACGCTCATACTCGCTCGAATACTCGCTCGTTTTTTCAAAGAGTACTCGAGTCCCCAATTTTGGCACTCGTTTCACCCCCAATAATAATCTGCAGAGAAATATTTTTGTTTTAGCTATCATGCCCCTGGCTAGTCATGTGATCTGGTGTCTACGCTGCCCTTGCTAGCATTCCATTCATTGAGCATTGGGCATCAGCCTTTGACCAGAGCACAAGTAAATTTCAGTGGGACCATTGTCACTAGGTTTAGGCCTGTTTTGGAACTCCACTCTAAATAAAGCCAAACAACAACAACAACAAATCAGCCTAGGTCCTGGTCACTACTGTAGTAGCAGCATGTGAAATGCACCTGCTTGTCAAGGTCTTTTCTTGCTTCTTGCTCTGTAAGTAGCTATTTGCCTTAATAATTTTAATTTTAGAGCCAGTATGGTGCAAGTCATGATAATGTTACTTGTACTATGGTGATGATAATGATGACTGTGGAAATGTAGTGTATGTGATGAGGACTGGAACAGTGTACATGTATCACTGGAACAGTGTACATGTATCACTGAAGCAGTCTTCAGAACTTCTCAACTAGGAACATCTGACTGCTTGTGGCAAGAACAAAAAATGAACATGATGCTGTTGGCCAGGGGCATGTTATGTAGGGGGGGGGGGGTATCAAGAGTATAGTACAATCATAATGCACTGCAGGTGTCGGTGGGGGAGTACCTGACTATTATATTAAATAGTGTACATGAAATCTATGTGCGAAGCTGGATACCTACTTAGGGCATGTTCGATTGATAAGGATCGGGACCCAGATCTCAGATCCGTTGGATCCTTCAGTCAACTGGACACTGTTTTTGGGCCTTGACTGTTGCCATGTTGACGAAGTAATAAAAAGTCGTACTCACCGCGCCGTTGGTTGTACAAAAAGTCAACAAGCTCTATCTCGATCCACGTGTGCGTACCAGAATGTGTCCGAAAACGATT